CCAAAAACATAAAGGACAAGTTCTGGTTAGGCTGTGGTGACATTTGCTAACACATATAAACAAACTAAGTGTCCAAGAATTGATGACTGGATTGAAAACTGGCACATATTTATTATGGAATACTACTCAGCAATATTAAACAATGAGACCTGGTCATTTGATTCAAAATGGATAAATATGGAAGACTTACTGTTAAGTAAGTGAGCCAGGCTTTGAAAGACACACACTGTATATCCCTGGCTCAATATGTACTGAATGTCTGTACCCTATATAGAAACTGAAAAATCCAAAGATATCATAGAAGAGAGGTAAGTCTAGATACCAGAAACTGTAAGGTAGGAGGGTAGATGGTATAAGAGGATGTGAGGGACAAAAGAAAGAAACATTTAACAGAAAAAAGAACATAAAATTCTTCTTTTTGTTTTGGAGAGGTTTTTGTTATAGGGCGCGTGTGCTCGCCAGAGAGACAGAAAGTGAGAAATCATCCTCTAGGGGGATGGCCATGCCATAGTCCCTTCTCCTCCACTCTCCTCTTGGGATCTTGGGTACACACGCACATGTGCCCAGCGTGAGTTTAAGCCACTGGGTCCAAGACTCGAACCATGGTCAACTACATGGGAGTCCAGCAACATAACCATTACTCCAACTGCTGGTACCAAGAACATAAAATTCTTTGTAGTAAAAGTTATATATGGTAATGTCTTTGATTTCATTATCATGTTCTACATGTATATTTTGAAAAATCATAATGTGCATTACAAAGATGTATAATGATGGGATAAAAAAATGAATAAAAAAAGAAGTAAATAAGTTTCAGAGAGAATAGATGGGGAATTAGTAAATTATAGCCCATGGTTCAAATTCTGCATGCAGCCCGTATTTGTTTTATTGGCAACATTCCTTTATCATATTGCCTATGTCTGTTTTTGTACTACAATGTTAGCCATGAGTTATTTGTGACAGATTGTATAGTCTACAAAGGAAAAAAAGGAAAAAAAAAAGTTTATTCTATGTCCTTTCCAAAATTTTTGCCAACCCCTGGGATAATTGAATATTAAGATTTTGTTCAGCTCTAAAGTTGTAATATTGTAAAAGGGTAAAAATTACATCTCTCATACAACTTGAAGCTGCTCTTGATTAGGACACCAAAGATCTGGATTTGAGTTCTAGCTTCTCAGTTTGCTAGTTCACATAAACATTCTAGATTCAAATGAACCTTCATACAGTAAATCAGACGTCACCACACAAAGTTCATTCCTCAGAATCACAAGGATTTACTTATTGGTTGATGGTGTTGTAATTTTTAAATTCAAGAAGAGCCATCAACATTGTGAAATGACTCCATATGTATAAAGCATAGATAAATGATGAAAAGAAACATTTGTGAAAAGAAAATAATCCAATGATAGATTTTAAATGGGATGTACAGGAAGAAGAATATGTTAACTCTAAGACATAACAATCTGCCTTGTTCAAAGTCAATCAATTATAAGGAATGGAAGAATTGTGTGCTTCTGTAAGTCCAACATAGCTACAGCTATGTTCTTAGGTGCACATTCTCGACTGTTACCAGTATGAACTATGCAATATTAAGAATAGCCTTCAATTGAACAAAAATCTCTCTTTACATTGGGAAGTCCAGTCTCAGGAAGACACACACGTGACCTGACGACCTTTCTTTTTTTTTTTTTTATTGTGGTAAGATATATGTAATGTTAAATTTACTATTTTAACATTTGTTAAGTTTACAGTTCTGTGGTCTAACAGAAATGTTGTGCAACAATGACTTTATTTCTTAAACAGAATATTTTTTTTCCTGTAAAAATATATACACTTGCTATAGAAAATAAAGAATGAAGAGGAAATCTAATCTATTTGTAAACTCATCAGGTGGAAATTGGCATTCTTTTCATATATATTCTTCCACATTCAAATAATTGCTTTAGGGTAGATACCTAGGTAAATGGGCAGTTTTGTTTAAATGATACAGACTATCAAATGTCTCTCAGAAAGTTTCTGCTTCCAGGGGCTTAGTACTTTCAAGATCACTTGATATCATTCTATTCCACATTTGCCAATTTGAAAGGTAAAATATGATATATCATTGCTGGTTCAAATAGTATTTTTTTGATACTATTTGAGGGTGTTTTTTCACTTTCCTATCTCTTTCTCTCTCATCCTTTGGAAAATTAAAAAAAAAAAGAGTGAGAATAAGCAATATCACATATTAATTGAATATCTATTTGCAATGATGCTTCAGTAAATTTTCTAGTTCCTTATTTTCTATTGATTTAATCTTTATTTACTGGTTTATAACAGCTCTTTATGTGTCAATAGCACTAACGTTCTCTCATCCTTATGGGCCGTAATAGTCTCCATCTTTTTTTTTTAATTTTTTTCTTCCAATTATTATAAAATGAATTACATATGTAAATAATCTAATGTAATATATTGTTACTTTAAATTTTCTTACTGTCAATCCATGTATTTAAAATATCTTTCTTTCTGACCAGTAGGAGGTGTGGTGGTTAAGGCACTGGACTTCAACATGGTCAAACGGTGTTGTTCCAAATTCGGATCTCGTGGCTTAAAAATCACACTAGGCATGTGTGTGTGCATGCGTGTCCAAAATCCCAGGAGGAGAATGGAAGAGAAGGGAATGTGGTGTGACTATCACCCCTGGGTGGTGATTTCTCATTTCCTGTTTCTGTCTCTCTCGGGCAAGTGCTCACACTCTACAAGGAAAACCTAAATTTTTTTTTAATTTAGTAAATCTTTTAAAAATTGTGCTGTAAAAACTAGGTATCCACATACAAAAGAATGATGGTTAGAATTTAAGACAGCATCCAGAAATTAATAGAATCATTGATTTAATTCATTAACAATTTAACATTCTATAACCCGTTAAACTAAAAATGTACAGAAAATTTTGTGTCTTCATTTTTAATATTTAAATACCTAATGCATTGTAATTTCTTTACCTTAATGTGCCTGCCATGACTTCCACGAACATGTTGTCATTCTTATTATTTTACCTATCTCAAAGAAATACTTCAAGAATTTCTACAAAAAGAATGATAGTTGCGATTACTTCTATTGGTTCTCTTTCTAAGCATAATCTTTACTCCCAGTTTGCTTAGGGTTTGTTGTTGCTAAATCATTAATAGAATTTTCTCTTGATTTAATTGATATATGTTAATTGTATAGACACATATTGTATACAGATATTCACGAGCATATATATATATATATACACACACACATATACACACATATATGCATACATGTATATACTTAGAACCTGCATATGATTTGGAAATTATATATATGAATTTGTCTGGTTATCTGGAGAGGATTTTTACATCTGTATTTATGTGTAGGTCTGGAATATGAGTTTCCTTCCTGCATTGTCCTTATCAGGACTTAACATCAAGGTTTTCTAGTGATAGGCATAGAAGAGTGTATCTTCTTTATTTATCTTCTGGAAGAGCTTATATTAAATTATACTCATTTCTTACTTCAATGTTGGATAAATCTCTCTGATGAAGTCACTTGAGCCTGTATTTTTTTTTGGTGAGATAAATCTAAAAGCTCAATTTAGTAGTAATTCAAATTCTTTATAGGGTATTGACATTTTAAAAAATTTCTTCTTGAGTAAGTACCTAGTAATATGTTATATTTGCCCATTTCATCTACAGTTTAAGTTTTTGGCAAAATATCCAAAATATTCTTTTATTTTTATTTTGGTTTCTAAAACATCTAGTTTGTAATTATTATTTTTTCTATTTATTAGATAGTTGTACTTTTATGTTATTATTTCTCTTGATTCTTTTTCATCTAAATTTCCTTAATTTTTTAAGTCTATTCAAAGTATCACCTTTGTTCTCACTTTCCACAATAATTCTTTTCTTATTATTAATTTATCTGATACTATTTCCTTCTTTAATATTTTACCTTTTATTTTACTGCTCTTTTTCTAGCTTTTTTCTAAATTAGCTCCTTAGTTTTGGGTTTTTGCTATTTCCTAGTGTAAACAGTTAGGGCTATAAATTTTCTTCTATGTACTGTTTTTGTTAAATTTAGAGGAGAAGTATTCAGTATTTTTTATACTGCAGTTGAAAATAGTTTCAAACTTTTATCACTTCTTTGCTAAACTGAACAATTACATGTGTATTTTTCATTTTAAAATATGTGGGCATTTTTCTAGTTATCTTTTTGATACTGATTTTTTTTTTTTCAATGAAACAAGGCATATGTGCACGCACAAGAGAAAGCAAGAGAGAACCTCCCCACCACAATAGGGTCTAGTCACACCACAATCCTTTTTCTGTCCAAGTCTCTATTGGATGAGTATTCTAGGCAAGTGTTCATGTATATGGCATGTTTGTTAAGCTGCTGAGACTGGGACTCAAATCCTAGTCAGCCATGTGGAAACCAGTTTTCTTTGTGTAGCATTTAATTGCTGCCTTATGAGATCCAACCTGATAGTGATTTTTAAGTTTATTTTATTATGCCTGAGAATATAACTTGTATTATTTCAACTCTCCTTTAGCAGTCAAAAAAAAAAAAAAAAAACCAAATTTAAGGACCAGCAAATGGCATGATGGTTACGTCACTGGACTCCCAAGTAACTGGCCACGATTTGAGTCCCAGACCTAGTGGCTTAAAACTCACACTGGGTGCATGTGCATGTGTGCCCAAAATCCTGAAAGGAGAAAGGAGGAGAAGGCATTGCAGCCTGGCCATCCCTCCGGGTGGTGATTTCTTGCTTTCTGTCTCTGTATCTCCAAAATGAGTGCATGTGCCCTATAGCAAAAAAATTTTAGTATCTTTTAAAAATATTCCTGTGTTTAAACTTTGACCATTATTAATTTTCTGAGCTTTTAAAAAGGCTCTTACTTGAAGAATAAAACAAGAATAAAAGGCAATTTATATTTGAAAGATGATGGACCCTTGTTCTTAGATGAGATTAAAATAGAATTCTTGGTGATATAAACTACCTTCTCCCCTGGGGTCACAGAAACTCTCCAGATGCAGTGTGTATAGGAAGGGTAGCCATTTGGAAAGCCTGGAGAGGAAAGATTTCCATTGGACTCCTGTAGGGTTTCTCCACATGCTGAAAAGGAAAAAAAGAGAGAGAGAGAGAGAAATCATTCCCTAATTGTTATTAAGGACATGGATGTCTTAAATAATCTCATGAGTCTTTTGGTATTGTACATATTGAATTTTATTGAAGACTTGCCTTTCTAAATAATTTTCTTTTTATGAATTTCTTACAAGAATTCTAGTACATTGAAAGGTATCATGAGAGCTAACCATAAAACTGCATTATAAAATAAGTAATCTGGTACTCATATAAAGTTCTTCCTCATGGAAACTTTTCTCCTTAACTCCCAAGAAGCTGGTAGCTATTTTCACAAACACTTGTAGTCACATAGAGCTGTGTCATCTAGCTAATGTGGCTCTGGGACTACATGAAACATTCCATTTACATATTCATATGAACTGAGGCTAAATGTAACAGTGAATGGCTTGTCTCAGTTTAAAAAGTAAAAAATAATAACTAATGGAACCAGCAGATGGCACAGTGTGTAGGTTACAACTCCCACATGTCCAACTGTAGTTCAAGTCTCTGACCCGGTGGCTTGGAAATCATGCTGGGTGCATGTGCATGCATGCCCAAGATCCCAGAGGAGAATGGAAGAAAAGGGATCGCAGTGTGGCCATCCCCCCTGATTTCTCACTTTCCTTCTTACTCTGTCTGTCTCGACTCTCTTTCTCCAGCGAATGCACACATCCTAAGGCAAAAGTTTCTAAAAAAAATAATAACTAATAAATGTTTAATAAAGTTTGTCTCAAAATGAAGATTTGTTTTAAAATAAAAATTTGAAAAAGAAAAGCATCATGAAAAATTTAAATTTTCAAAAAGACCTAGAAATTTATCTATCATCTCTTCTGTTGATCATACATATCATTTTTAGGGACAATGGTATATTTTCCTCTTATTAGGCTCGTCTAATTCCTCGGAACAATTATCAGTCACCTGAAATAGCAAATTATCAGCTGCAAAGCATCGGGATTGGTGGTTAGCCATGGCTAGTGGTCAGCACCATTCTACAGTGGGTTTTTCCTGTTGTTTTTACAAGACATGGTGTGAGCCACACAAAATAAACTGCTTTTAGTAATTTTAATTGAAGAATAATTCCTCTTTGCAGTCAATCATCTCTATAACCTTCACGTAACAACTTGAAGGAAAAGTTCCTTCACTCTGAAGGAGACTGCAATCCAAACTGAGATATTACCATATTACAGAGACATAGCTAACAGCAGGTTAAGTCTCATTTCATCAAATTCTCAATGAATTATTAATGATTTTGCATACCTTGTTAAGGAAAGAAAAATAATGACTTTGAAAACATGTAATAGAACTGTAAAACCAGTCTGATGTGATAAAATATTTATTCAAAAAAAGCCAGATTTTCTGTTTGCACAACAAAATAAATTTAAAGTCAAAGTAAGTAATGTTTATTCTGATGAACAGGCAGATAAAAGCAACTTTAAAACAAAATGAAAATATGCAAGGTCAAAAATACACAATTTAGCAATGTTCTATTATTCTTCCAGGCCACTTGATGAATGTAACATTATAAGAAGCCTTAGCAAAATAAAAATGTATGAAGATGTGATTAATGTAAACAATGTATTCTAAGTAGAATCAGTTTAGATGCTAAATAATAATTTTGGTAGTTGACTGTGTTTCAATGGAAAAAATGTAACATTGACAACAATTTGAAAATAAATTCTGTACTGATTTAAAGTCCAATAAGCCACAGAGAATGCTGGTAGGGATTTCCAAAAAGTAGAATTAAAAGAATATATTTAATCCACAAATTTATACAAACAATACTGTTCTGACTAAAGGATAACAATTCAGGACCAGCAGGTGGCATAATGGTTATGTCACTGGACTCCCATGTAGTCAACCATGGTTCAAGTCCCAGACCCAGAGGCTTAAAACTCATGCTGGATGCTTGTACCTGCATGCCCAAAATCCTAAGAGGAGAATGAAGATGGTATTGCAGTGTGACAATTCCCCATAGGGGGTGATTTCTTGCTTTCTGCCTCCGTCTCTCTTGCAAGTGCAAGCACCCTTATAGCAAAAATCTCTCTTAAAAAAAAGATAAAAATTCTCTAAACAAAATATAAAGCACAATGCAACATATAATTTAAACATTCACGCAAGTATAATATAGTATCTGCTTATAATGCAAGAAATACTGATACCTATATTCAAGTTGCAGTCATTTTTCATGAATTTGCCTCAATAAATAAAGTTAGTCCCAGGCAATCTGGTCTCAACTAGATACAATGTTTTAGCCCTATTCCTGGCTATTTGTTAACTTACTTATGCTCAGACATAAAAACAAATTTGATTATTCAAAGGACAAAAAGTAAATTAACAAAAAAGGTGACACTAAGTTCAAATGTTTAGTGTGTCCATTGGCAAGAAGGTGCACAGTGGCTGAGAGAACACAACTTGAAGAGCTGGTAGTCACTTATTAATTACATCATCACAAGCACATCTCAGAAGCTTAATTGCAGTTTTCTCTCCTATAAAGTATCTCTCTGCTTAACATATACTTCATAAGGTAGTTTTGTAGGGTTCAAGTGTTTCTTGTCATGCCCAACTATTTTTTAACCCTTAATTAAGTACCTCTCTCACAGGTAGGGAGACTGTTGTGACAGTAAGAACTTGTCTTTGAATAACAATGACTTTTCTGATAATATGTGGGAAAATACAAGCATAATGGAAAGTAAAGAGGCAATTTTTATTTTTTAATTTATTTTTCTTTTTAGAGAGAGATTTTTGCTATAGGGTGCATGTGCTTACCAAAGAGACAAAGAGAGAAAAAAAATGAGAAATCACCCCTAAGGAGAGATGGCCACACTGCAATTCCTTTTCCTTGATTCTCCTCTTAGCATGTTGGACATGCATGCACATGTGCCCAGTGTGAAGCAAATTATAATTATCAGTGTTCTAATAAATTATAAAACAAAACACAATTCAGAAGTTAAACTTTTACAAATCCTTATCTTATTTTCCATTTCAGTTTTGAATTAGATAATCCACTTAGATCTTAGAATAGAAAGTTGTGTTTGAATGACATGAATGTCACTTAGATTGTATGTCGTTGAGGAATCAGTACAGATTCTTTTCCTTTTAATACCATGGTTAAATTTATAGCTGACTGCACATCTACCTTCAAATGTTTCCTGTCAAATGTCTATAGAAGCCAACAATAGCAAAGTTTGAGGACTTTCCCTTCCCCACAATCTGTAAGAACACACATACATAATTTTCTAAGGTTAATGAAAACATAAGCAGATACACAATATTTTATATTCAATAGTTCTTCAAAGAAATTGATAAACTCTAGAGTAAGGAAAGAAATAAAAAAGTGCCTCCATCTAATCAACTTAGTACTGCCTGTTTAATTTAAATCATTCATAAACCTATGACTCCTTTAAATTCTTAAATGTCATACATATTATTTCAGTGTAACGTGATTTTGAAAAAGGAAATATTAAAAGAAATCCTTGGTCATTATCTCAACAGTAATGATGGCATAAATCACTGACCGATTTTTAAATACGTTTCAGTAGTAACTGTGTATGCATGTCAAAAGATCTTTTTTAAAGAAATATTTTATTTAACCTTATTTATTTATTTACTTATTTATTTTAATTTGACCAGAGAGGGAGAGAGCAAGAGACAGAGAGAGAGAAAGAGAGGGAAAGTGAGAAATCAAGCCACCAGTTCCAGGATTTGAACTGTGGTCAGCTATGTGGGGTCCCAAGGCCCTTAACCACCATGCCACATACATGCCCCATGTCAAAAGATCTTTTAAGACAGAGCATAAATATCAACTCTAGAAAATATTTGTCATCCAAGGTACAGCCCAGGTTACCTACACCTCCTCAAAACGTGTCCATCCATCACTGATTATATTTACTTCATCATAGTCCTATGTTGTCTCCATAGTCCCTTCAGCCACTATGCTATTTCTGTCCACATCCCGTGTTACCTTCTTTTTCTAAAAATATAATTATTTATTTAATTTTATTTATTCATTCATTTTATTTTAATTTGACCAGAGAGTGATACACAGAGAGAGAGAGGGAAAGTGAGAAAGCAAGCCTCCAGGTCCGGTATTTGAACCGCAGTTGGCTATGTGGGAATGTCTAGCGCCTTAACCACCATGCCACCTGCTTGTCCCCCATGTTTCCTTCTTTATGTTCTGTTATACTTGCTATAGTTCCTCTTGCATATTGAAGCCAATTCATTTACTCACAGAGAAATTATACATCGGCCACCCAGTTCATCTCAATTTCTGAATATCCGGAAAGGAAGTTTAACTCTGGTCCTCAGAAAGTTATACTCTACTGTGGGAAATGACAGGCAAATAGACAATTACAAAAGCAAGACATACAGACAGGGATCAAATATGGTATTTGCCACCCTAAGAGTCTTAGTTTTTAAAAAAGGATTTAATCAAGTGGCAGTTCTGAATGTTCCAGCTGAAGAAAGAGTCTAGGCTAATAAAAGCAATATCAAGATTCCAGGACTGAAGAAAATAGGGGTAAAAATCTAGGCTGTACAGAAATTATTTACAGACAAGGCTAAGAGAGGAGACATGGAATGAATGATGAAAGAGACATCTTGACAAGGAAACTAGCCTTTATCTTGAAGATACATGGAGTAGGATTCGTATTCTAACATTTCACTTGGACGGCGGCATGTGTAGTGAACTAGAAGGATGTGAGGATAAAGGCAGGTAGGTAACTGAAGGCACGCTGGCACTGCACAAAGGATAGGATGGCACCTGGACCAGGGGATTGATCGGAGGAATTTGAGATCCCAAGAAGGCAGAAACAAAAGGGTCAGAGATAGGTTAAGTGTCAAGAGAGGCGAGAAGAACAAGGAAGCAAGAATGTCCTCCACGCTTTGTCTACTCGATGACCTGTGATATCATCGAGTGAACTAGGGAATATTCCAGGCAGATGAATAAACAGATCCGTAAATAAATGAGTAAACAAAAAAAGATGAAATGAATT